ATACAAAACACGTCATCGGGTAAAACGTTTGTTTCTATTTTTGGCCTTTTACTTGCTCCATTACTTGTGGTGAGTGGCAAAAGAGAATGTAACCTCACGTTAATTCCAGTAGACAGCGAGTATACTTTGAAGCGGTGGATATGGATCAGATAGTGGATGGATGGATATTATGACTTCCGATAGGCCCTCTCAACGGCCATGGCACTGCACAGAATCGTCTGCTGCTTGGTTAACTCATGGCAAGAAAGTAAAATGACTGACAGAAAAATCAATCGTTTATTCTGGTCGGCCTTTGACTTTGGTATGTTCCTGAGCTCCAGCCTAGGTAAGACCAGTGGTAAAGGAGGGCCTGCTGACAGCAGTTTTCCTGGGATGAATCGGGCAGGATCAGTGGTCATTCTGCATGTCTGCACGGGATAATACAAATAAACAAAAGGCTTGCATACGTGGTCTCAGATGAGTTGGAGAACACTCGCCCCATATAAGTTCATTTCCTCTGTGTTGGTTTGGCCTAGTTTAGATCTGTGAGCAGAACTTCATAATTTCCTTCATGTATTTGTTTTCAGAGGCAGGATCCTCTGGTGGCGTGTGGATGATAATGGAACAGACAAAGCAAATTGATGGTCTGCCTTGTGACTCTGCAAGACATTGGCAATAGTTGGCCTGTTTCTGTTTGCAGGCACTGACTGACAGACATACACAGACATTCACACCCATGCATGCACACCCACACACAGTCTACATGTATATAGGTATGTGTGTGTGTGTGTGTTTATATATATATATATATATATATATAATTTATATATTGACCCATATAGGTGCTTTGAGCCACTGCCATATCCATCAAAATTATCTGGGCCCTCTTCCTAGCAAGACCACTGGGACGCGCCTGTGCTCTGATGTGTGTGCGAAACATATTCCGTAACTGAAGTGCCAGTCTCTGCATGTGTTTATGCATGGTGCTGCAGTTTGTGACAGCGCATTGGATGCTGTTGAAACACTGCAAGGTTTCGTCTCCAGGTGGTTCTGTTCTTCTGACTTCAGACTCTTTGAGGATGCATGAAGGAGAAAACTGCGGAGTTATGCTCTGTGAAATTCCTCCAGAGAGGCGGCATTCTTTGCCATTAATATTCTGCAAGACTATATTTGCTATTTGCAAGGGTTAAACACAGTTATACTTGAATGCTTGCTTGAATAGTGCTTTGTTTTGCAGGTAAGCAGGGGCATGCTGATGGCTCGAACAACGGACATCAACCTATGGGGCATTGACACTGACATTCAAATTTATGGACAATCTTGTGTCTACAATCAGCCTATAATATATGTTTTTCAAAAATAGTGGTGGTGCGTGGTGGGGAATATTGTAAAGACTCACACAAGCATGGGGACAACAATCATCTTCCACAAAAGAGGGCCTGAGCTGAGATACAAACCTCAGACCACTCAATTGTGCGACATGCTTACTGGGAGTCCACTGCCACCCTCTGCATTCTTGTATACAGTATACAGTACTATTTTTAATTGAACTGAAATGACTGTGCATTGTCCCGTGTGCTCGCTCCCCGATCTTGATTACTTCAGATTACTTCCAAAATAATTGGATGTGTGTTCCAGTTACTTCCTCGAACGCAACCTTGAAATAACTCCCTCTGCAATCTGGCCTATCACTTTACATTGTGCCACGTTTTTTTTCTTTGAAGGGTTCAGAGGCAAAGACCTCTCTGATCTGACGAAGAAAAGAAAAAGGCCCCTGCAGTTAACATTCTGATTTAAAAAAAAAAAAAAAATCTGCAATTTGGCTGACACACAAACACTCACAAGAACATAAAGGTAAGTTAGGTTTGCTTGAGAAAACAAGAGGTGGTATGGAACAATGACAATCTGGCCACTCGGGTAATTTCCCGTTGGCATTTGTGTGATGTGGTGATGACTGTTCTGCCGGGCTCAATCAAACTCATGAGCAGATGGCGTTCCACTCCTCCAGTGGACTGCTGAGTGCCTGCGTGTTATTCGGAGGCAGTAATTGGCCTGCTCTGGTGTGTAACGGACTGGAGCCCGCTAACGGCCACCGCTGCCACAAGGCCTCAACACTCGTACCTTATGCTTTAGCACACTTCTGACAGACAAACCTGTGCTACTATTTCACACTAACTCTGAATGGTTACATGTTGTCATAGTTAATAAGCTATGACGTCTACCTGCTTGACAGAGATTAAAAAACACATTTGAAGAGTGCAAAGTAGCTAAAAAATGCAGAGCTAATTTGAGCACGCTCATTAATCGTTTGTCACGACTCCACAGCTCCTCTCAAGAGCCTTGTGCAAAACATCATCAACTCTGTTTCAGGCATCCACAAAGAAATGGTACAGAAGCACTGACAGTCTGTGGCTATGTTTGCTAACAAGCTTTTTCTTTTAGGTGAGGAACGACTGACTGTGTAGATAAATGGAGCCGTGTGTGGGAGACTTTGCGATATCGAGTAATTGCTAGGTACTGTATATTTTAGTGTGTGCGGTTGGGGGTGTTGGAGCTGGTGGGGCGTTTGAGGCTGAGATGCCATGCACTTCAAAGCTTTGATGTAGGCGCTCTAAATGAGAGCCACCAGAGGTCCAGACTAATGGGAGTTCATGGCGAGATTACAGACCCAGTATGGCAAGCAGTCAAACACAAAATAATGTCTTTGTATGTGACAGCTTAAGTTATTGTATTGTGTGTGTATGTGTGTGTGTGTATATATATATATATATAGTCGGAATCTCTTGTCGTAGTCTATCTCGCGCAAAGCACAAGCACTGTAAACAAATTATAACAGGAAATAACAGACTTAGAATCGTGATGCCAAACCCCACATCAATCGAGGAGTGGAGACCAAAATGTTCAGTGATTAGCTCTGGGCCGCCTGATAACTTTGTCTTGGTTTCACATGTCCAACATGGGCGGAATACACACCACATACCAGAATGCACACCTCACACCCACCTCACGGACTCAAGAGAGTCCGCCACTAGAAGCGAACGAAATCAAATAAAGGTACCAGCAGCATCATCGTCGTAGGCTACTGGTGCAACGCCAAGCAAGGGTTATATGGAAAAAGCGGGAATCAACATCTCAACAAGAAGCAAAAGCACACAACAATGACCATGTGTTGATCGTTGAGGGATGTCACGGTCCATGGTGTGTCAGATGTTCTCTGAGGCGGGGTCATGAATGAATCGACGAAAGCGTTGTGTTTGTGTGTTGGATGATCAGAGGAGACACACAAAAGCCAGGACAGAGACTGTTGCAATTCTGAGCGGGAACGCCATTGTGAGAGGGCTTCTGGAAGGAAGGGGCTGTGGCAGGAAGGGGGCTCTTGCAGGAGGGGAAAGAGTTGTTGCACTCGTTCTGGAACGGGAGGAAGGCTCCGCAGTGATGGTGTGAAGTACGGCGCAGTTGTGAAAGGGGAGGGGTTCTTCAGGACCTTAGGGTAGACTACCTGGTCCCAGGTTGATTTTCACCGGGGTTATTTTGCCCGTATACCGTGAAATCAACCTCTGTTGAATGGTGTCACCAATAGGGGGCAGCTGGGGCTGGATCAGTAGATTTGGTTTTTTGGTCCTTGTCAGGTGGTGGGATCGCTCAGCCCAAGGTGGATTTGTGTGCAATAATTAGCCCATATATATATATATATATATAATGTTTGATTTGAAAAGTCTACGCGGAAGTTATATGGTGATGAAAAAAATGCCGGCTCGTCACTTATTATGGTATAAATCCTTTATTAAATAATCATAACAATAATCAAAACAATCATAAAAAGAGCATTTCTGTACAAAGACCCCTTTAAAACAACAACAACAGCAGCAGTAGTCCAAGCAGTGCAAGATGAGGTCTCGTTCTTAAATGTGTTTGGTCCTCCTAGGTCAAGGGGGGCACAATTATGGTCACTCTCAATGTCATGCAACTGTCTGGAACTGGATCAAAAGGCAAGCTGGATCCTCAAGGCTCCAAGGCACTTTGAAGAGAGTCATTTGGGTCCAGAAATGTGGGCCTGTTTGTGTGCGGGTCTGTTCCATAGAATGAAATACTGAGTGCGTGTAAAATATGGACGTCATAGTAGGTGTCTTTCTTCACACCATCACCAAGCTCAAATACAGTACTGTATACAACTCAGGGACCTCAGTACAGTTATCCCCTGTTTTTTTGTTTTTGTTTTTGTGAGGGATATGTCCCAAAAAAATGCAGCAAAAAGTGGAAATAGTAATACCAGATGCTATTTTTCACAAATAAGTAAAGGTATTGCAACTCATTTTAAAGTATGTACTCACACAAGCGAAGATGCAAAACTTGTTTATAAATCAGCTGTGCGGTACAATAAAAAGAGGACAATGATTTTTATTGTACAGGAGGGTCGAAACCTACGACATTGGGACGCAACAGTGATATATTACTCAGAAATATTTGTTTCAACTTATAAAGTTTGTGCCGTAAACATGAGACAGAATGCTCAGTTACCACCATACTCAGTGGTGATCCATTTCATTTGTTCACAGTTATGTGTTTTTCATACAAATAATTCATATAATTGTGAGGCTACTGCTTTAGTACAACATGATGGTGTTCTGACTTACTGTACACAATAATTGGGTTGTGTCTGTTTCATAGGAATGGAACTCTGTCCCCCTGCACTGACCAGCAAACCGGAGCATTTTCAGCTCTTCAGTTGGATGAAACTCAATAAAAACAACTTCTGGTAGGCTGCGGATGCCGCTGTATGGGAACCCACAAATAAAAACATGTGTTCTCATTACAAATCTGTGAAGTCCAAACAGTGATATTGGCGAGGATTACTGTGAAAGCCTTGGTTTCAAGTTGAGTGTGTGTGTGTGT